GCTGCTGCTGCTGCCGCCACCGCTGCTGCTGCTGCTGCTGCTGCTGCTGCTGCTGTTGCTGCTGCCGCCCCTGCTGCTGCTGCTGCTGCTGTTGCTGCTGCTGCTGCTGCTGCTGCTGCTGCTGCTGCTCAGACGCCTGAGTTTACTGGTCGTCGTGTGTTAACATTTCACAACCAAAGAGACTTTATATTTGTTCGGCATCACCGCTACATATTCAGAGAAAAAAAAAGGCTGCGGCCGCCCCTAGACCTCTCCTCTCTGCAGCAGCAGCAGCAGCAGCAGCAGCAGCAGCAGCAGCAGCAGCAGCAGCAGGGGGAGGAGGGGGAGGAGCAGCAGCAGCCTATAGACCCCAGAGTTGGTGCTGCGCTGCAGGAGATAGGGCCCCGGCTCACACTAAAACTGCTGTGGCTGCATGCGGGCCTCTTTAGCACAAAGGAGGGTCTCTTTGAGTTTGTATGGAGACCAGACCTTAAGGTAGATAGAAAAAATATGTTAATATAAACCCAGCTCTCCTGCTGCTGCTGCTGCTGCTGCTGCTGCGGCGGCGGCGGTGGCGGCGGCGGCGGCGGCGGCGGTGCTGCTGCTGCTGCTGCGGCGGCGGCGGCAGCGGCGGCGGCGGCGGCGGCTCTTCCTAGGGATGTAGTTGCTGCTGCGGGGTTAGGTTAGCGCTTGCTGCTGCTGCAGTCCCTGCTGCTGCTGCTGCTGCTGCTGCTGGCAGCGTAGCTCTGGGCCCAAGTGTTTGGGAAGTCTGCAGCAGCAGCAGCAGCAGCAGCAGCAGCAGGAAGAGCAGCGCCAGCAGCAGCAGCAAGAAGAGCAGCAGCAGCAGCAGCAGCAAGAACTGCAGCAGTAGGAAACCCAGCCGCAGCTTGGAAATTTCCCGCTGCAGTTGCTGCAGCAGCAGCAGCAGCAGCAGCAGCAGCAGCAGCAAGTTGTGCTGCTGCTGCAGACATTGTTTTTATTGTGTAAATTTTTATTTAGCTTTTATAAAGGAGACAGAGAAAGACAAAAGGAGACAAAAAATATCTGTCTCCTCTTATCTCCTCCAGCACAACAAAATAAAAAACAAAATAAAAAAAATAAAAAAATAAAATAAAAAACAAAATAAAAAACAAAATAAAAAACAAATTAAATAAATAAATTAATAGTAATTGAAGGAGACAAAAATGTAAACAAAAAAACAAAAGGGACAACGAGGCCCCGCTGCTGCGCTGAGGAGGCAGCAGGGTGACTAATAGCAGCAGCAGCTGCAGCAGCAGCAGCAGCAGCAGCAGCAGCAGCAGCTGCTGCTGCTGCTGCTGTTGGGGAGAAGCAGCAAAGAAGTGCTGCACGATGGCTGCAGCAGCAAACCTGTCACGCTGATGCTGCTGCTGCTGCTGCTGCTGCTCGTCCCCGTAGCAGTCCTGCTATTGCTGCTGCTGTTGCTGCTGTTGCTGCTGCTGCTCCTGCTGTTGCTGCTGTTGCTGCTGCTGCTGCTGCTGCTGCTGCTGCCTTGGGAAGTGACACCAGGCTTCAAGGGCTTCGGTGGCAACTGTCCGAGGCTCAGCCATCGCTCCAATACCTGCAGCAACAGCAGCAGCAGCAGCAACAGCAGCAGCAGCAGCAGCAGCAGCAGCAACAGCAGCAGCAGCAGCAGCAGCAGCAGCGGCAGCAGCAGCAGCAACAGCAGCCAAAATATGCAGCATGTGAATACTGCTTTACAGGAGAGACTGAGAAAGAAACAAAAGAGAGACAGAGACAGACAGAGAAGGAAAGAGAGACAAACACAAAGACAAAGACAAACAGAAAAAAATAAAAAAGAAAAAAAGAAAAAAGAAAGAGATAAAAAAGAAAGAGATAGAGAAGGAGACAGGCACAGAGAGACACTGCGGAGGAGACAAACAGAGACAGAGACAGAGAGACAGAGAAAGAGACAGAGAAAGAGAGACAGACAGAAAGAGACAGAGAGACAGAGACAGAGAGAAAGAGACAGAGAGACAGAGAAAGAGAGACAGAGAAAGAGAGACAGAGAAAGAGAGACAGAGAGAAACAGAGAGACAAAGCGACAGAGACAAGGAGAGAGAAAGACACAGACAGAGAGACAGAGACAAAGAGAGAGAGAGAGACAAAAGGAGACAAAAGGAGGCAAAAGGAGACACAAGGAAGAGACAAAAAGAGCAGATACAAGGAAGAGACAAAAAAAGGAGACAAAAGGAGACAAAAGGAGACAAAAGAAAGAAAACAAAAGAAGAGAAAAAGGAGACAAAAGGAGACAAAAGGAGACAAAAAGGAGACAGGGTGACCAGTGGTCACCCGTGTCTCCGCAGATGAGTGTCTTGCATATCGGCGGTATCACCTGCAGCACCAATCCACACCACGCACCCGCTTGCGCTGTACGTACACTGCAGCAGCAGCAGCAGCAGCAGCAGCAGGAACAGCAGCAGCAGCAGCAGCAGCAGGAACAGCAGCAGCAGCAGCAGCAGGAACAGCAGCAGCAGCAGCAGCAGCAGGAACAGCAGCAGCAGCAGCAGCAGCTTACAAAAACTCCGAACTGCTGCAGCTGCTGTATCTGCTGCTGCGTGATGGGGTGTCTCCACATATCGGTGTTCATTGCGGGGGCAACCACCAACGGCTTGCTGCTGTAGCACCAGGCACGAGCCACGCAGCTCTGCAGCAGCAGCAGCAGCAGCAGCAGCAGCAGCAGCAGCATCAGCAGCAGCAGCAACATGTGTAGAAGCAGCTAGGCACACTGCAACGGGTACGAAGCAGCGGTTGTCTGCTGCAGTGCCGCAGCCACCGCAGCACAGCAACAGCAACAACAACAACAGCAGCAACAGCAGCAGCAGCAGCAACAGCAGCAGCAGCAGCAGCAGCAGCAGCAGCAGGTACAAACCAGCAGGTCGTCACAAAGGCCGCAGGATATCTTGGCGAGACTGTTGGCGCTCAGCGGAGCCACCACAAACACATCAGCCCACCGCCGCAGCTGTACATACACCCCGCAACACCAGCAGCAGCAGCAGCAGCAGCAGCAGCAGCAGCAGCAGATGGAGTTGTTGTTGTTGTTGTAGATACACCCCACGACAAACACACTGTAGCACAAGCAGCAGCAACAGCAGCAGCAGCAGAAGCAGCACACAGCAGAAGGGCAGCCAGCATCTCCAGCAGCAGCAGCAACAGCAGCAGCAGCAGCAGCAGCAGCAGCAGCAGCAAACCTCTATGTGCAAGACAGGGTCTCCTCGCTGTCTCCATGCTGTCCATTCGTCGCTGTCTTTGCGGGCTTGCTGCAGCAGCCCCTCCCGCATGAAGTGCTGCGCCCTTGCTGTTGCTACTAACTCTACCTGCAGCAGCAGCAGCAGCAGCAGCAGCAGCAGCAGCAGCAGCAGCAGCAGCAGCAGGGACAGCAGCAGCAGCAGCAGCAGCAGGGAGAGGGGCAGCATTGATAGGGGGAGAGCAGTGGCTGTTGAAGGCAGCTACAGACTGCCTCAGCTGCAGAAGCAGCTGCTGCTGCAGCAAGCAGCAACAGCAGCAGCAGCAGCAACAGCAGCAGCAGCAGCAGCAGCAGCAGCAGCACCTCAGCTGTTAAGCCCTTTGCTGCTGCTGCTGCGTGGAGCTCGGTGATGAGTTCATCTGTCTTTATAGCAGCAACTGAACCGGTGACCCCCAGCAGCACCCGCACAGTCCCTGCATGCAAAACCCTAAACCCTAAACCCTAAACCCTAAACCCTAAACCCTAAACAACGAGCAGAGAAAGGCGAGACACAGAGGTTGGTGTGACAGCCCTTCTAGGGTTTAGGGTGGGGGGCTTGCAAAGAGCAGGACAGGGTATAATGTTTAGGGTTTAGGGTTTAGGGTTTAGGGTTTAGGGTTTAGGGTTTAGGGTTTAGGGCTCCAGAGGGGTCGAGGTTTGTCTTGCCCTGTGCTGCCTTTGCTTCATTCATTTTGTCTTTTCCTTCATCGGCAATGCTGCTGCTGCTGCTGCTGCTGTTGCTGCTGCTGCTGCTGCTGCTGCTGCTGCTGTTGCTGCTGCTGTTGTTACTGCAGTTTCTGTGTCGTTGGCGGCGCTGCTGCTGCTGCTGCTGCTGCTGCTGCAGCTGCTGCTGCTGCTGCAGCTGGTGTTTGTGTGTCTTCTATGTACAACAAAGCTTATAAATATTTTAATTTTAATATTATAAAATAAAATAAATAAAAAAAACAAAAATTTTTGTTTTTTTTTGTTTTTTTTTGTTTTTTTTGTTTTTTTTTTTATATAGCCCCCGCCTCAGTCCTAGCCACAGCAGCAGCAATCGACGCTGCTCTCCCCCCCCCCCCCCC